CTTGTGTCTTACAGCCTGCCTGTTCATGGCTAAGTGGAGAGCCACCGTGTCTGCCACTTTAGTGTCTGCCATGGCACAGCAAAAGAAAAGAAAATCTCACCAGGGAAATTACCAAAAGCATCAGAGAAAGCAAAAATATAATGCCTTTTAGATTGCATATGGAGTCATGCGAGAGCAGCATCCCAGCTCAGCTGTGGGCTGTGGGGTCTGTGCAATCTGGGAGCAGTGCTGCCTACCTCGATGGTCCCCAGCCCAAAGTGAAGTTAACAGTGGGTTACATGAGCAGAGGGTTTCCCAAACCAAAGGACGTGTGTGAAGTTTGTGGTTTGGTCACTGGCGGGGTGTCATAGCCACCCATCCCAAGCAGTGCATAGCCACACACCAGCACGACCGCTGCTGAGGGACAGCCTTGCTCACCCCAGCAATGCAAAGTCTTCTGCCCCATGGCATCTAATGAGCAGTTATCACCAAGCTTGCAGCTGTGGGTTTGAGATACAGCCTTGTGGTGCAGGGTGCAACCATTCTCCTGATACAGGTGCCCTGGCTGGCTGCTCACAGACTGAAATAAATTGAATGGAAACCCAAAGAATTCTACAAAAGGCTGTAGTGAAAGGCCTGGAAGGAAGCTGGAGGCACACCAGCCATACAGCTTTGTGGGCAGAGATGGGTCTCCTCAGGGGCGCCTGCAGGTGGTGACTGTATCTGGCATCCCAGTCAAAGCTATGCTGAAGATCCCTCTTGTCTATAGGAAGGAGTTCACTTCCAAGCACGCAGCTGGGCTATCACAAAGGAATGCACTCCCTACCACTGCTTCTTTCTGAGTTATTTTACTGAAGGATTTGAGTGTCCTTAAGGTGAATATGTGTACAAATATTGGAAGCATGATATGTGCTAGAGAAAACAAAGGGAAAAATCTCCTGGTCTCCTATTCCTCCTGGGTAAACCTGTGAGTTCTCCCACCTTCTTGAGTTGCAGTCTCATACAATATCATACAGTCTGCTGCATCCTTAAATAATTCCTGCTGAAACAGCAGACACTGAGCACATCACTGAAATCCCATAAAGCTGCTTAGCTTCCAGCCCCGCATCCTGAAGAGTTGAATCTCTGGGAGAAAGCAATGACCTGCAGTCCTGCAGGATAACTCTCCTGGCCCAGAGCTGGAGCTGGATATTTTGCAGAGTTTCCAGTTTCACTGTCAGTCTTATTCTCTTGAGCTCCCAGTTCCCCTCTTCCAGCTCCTCACACATCGATCAGAGCTCAAATAAATGTGGTATGCTAAAGCTTCACCCGCTGGAAACAAACTGCAATTACCAAGCAGAGGATTCACTCCATTTACCTCTCGCCATCTGGAAGTTAAGCATTTGGCTTAAACTTATTGTCTGCAGCCACAGAGAGGGATGGATGCTTCCAGGAGGAAATTCATCCCACTAATTTTAAATACCTTTCTCAGGCAAGGATCAATCACATGCTGAAAGCCTTTGCCTCTGCTTCATTGTAGAGGAACCTCAAAAGGCAAATTTGGATACGAAAGTGTGGTGATGGGCAGCCCATCCTCAGTATTTGTTTACATGCAGATGTGAAAGATGAGATCTCTGTGCTTTGGGGCTTGATGGTGCAGCCCCAAGGGGGTGTAGCACTTACCAATACTGACTCTCAGTCTAACAGACATGCCTCTTGCCTTGAAGTTTTACTCATCTGATTCCTTTTCAGTAAGAGTATCATCTGTCAGTTGTATAACAAATCTTACCCTGTAAGCTGCTGTCCTCATTCTTTGCAAATAACAGCAAATAAATTAATTTCTATTAATTTATCAGAACCAAAAGGTTGAGACCTTTTCTACCCTTTGAACACATACCCAAACAGTAGATCTTTTGGCCTTTGGCTCTCTGAATCAAAATGAATAACGAAGAGAGTAATGCCTTGGATGATGAAAGCCAAAAAGCACAGCCACGCATGTCCTGCAGTGCTTGAGTGGGGCAACTAAGTCGAAGGAGTAAAATAATTCACAAGGGATAGAAGTCAATGAAATTTGCTGAATAAGCAAACAATAAGCAAAGAACAAGGTACCTTACTGCATAGGATGCCCCTGGGCAGGACTCTTCGCTTGGCCCCTTGGTGCCACTTCCCTGGTGGTGCTGGCTGTGGGGCTTTGGGCAAACCTGGTTTAGTGGAAGGTGCCCCTGCCCAGGGCAGAGGGTTGGAGCTGGGTGGCCTTGAAGGTCTTTCCAATCCAAACCATTCTGTGCTTCTCTGAGTCTATGGCTTTACCAATGTCAGCCCTGAGCCCCACAGCTCTGCTCGCTTCAGGGGACCCTGCCTGCAGACAGACTGCCTTGGTGGCTCTCCAGCCAGTTACTGCACCTGTGTGAGAGCCAGCAGGAGCTGCCAAATACATCTGAAAGTCTCTGGTTCTGACCAGACAGCTTGGAGACTAGACAGCATCCAGTACTCAGCATCTAATATCTTTGGCTGTGGGACCACAGACATCTCAGTTCTTTTGGTAAGAGCCTCAGGAAAGCTCTTTTCCCTCCCTGCCAGCTGGATTACAATTGTGGCATTTTTTTTTTTGGAGAAAGAAGTGCTTCTTCACAGCTGAGTATGTAATGATATTCACAACTTTGTACTTCATAGAGATGTACATGTCATGGAGAATGTTTCCTAATCTCTTACGGACCTAAATGAAGCCTTCTCTAACTTCAGTTGATAAAGCATCAGCAGCTGCATGGTAAGATTTGCTGAAGCTGTCTGTGCAAAGGAGCAGCTCCTGCATGGGTCCAGAGACGTCCACTGGAACTTTTGCCAATTGCAGGCTATAAAGGTCACTATTTGCAAAGGGCTGGATAAACAAGTAAAACTGCACTCACTTGTCCTTACCAGTCATGTTGTACCAAGAGGGGGAGAATATGATAGTTATTTACTACTGTGTTAAACTGAAAGGGAGAAAGTGGGTTAAAAATGAAAATGGTTCCTTATTTTTTTTTAACCATAGAGATTTCCCCATTCTTTCTTGTCCTATATTTCCTAATAGAAATGGGGAAATGGATAACTTTACTCTTGCTTTTTATTCTTTTAATTCTCTGGAAGATAAAGTCGACAAATCAAAAGCCAAACTGTTTCTAAGCCGTTCCCTTTGTCTCATTTTCTTTAAAACACACAGAACTGAGAGGTAATGAAGGCCGTCTATGAAACATCTTTCTTTTCACCAAACACATCAGAAGAAACAAAACTGATCAACCCTAGAAAAAAAACCTGACTGAACAGTTCAGTTGCTTTGTCTTTCAGGCACAGGCACAAAAATATGGATAGGTTTATATACAAATATATATAAAGTAACAAAAACCTCAAATTCAAATACACCTGAGCTTTGGGGAAGCTTGTATATTCATTCAGTCTTTGTGGGTTAGGCTCATCTGTAACAGAAATATTTGCAGATAGACAGAATACTTCCTCTTTTATCTTATCTAACAATCTGTCTGCTGGGTTTTTCCGGGAGATGGCCTCAGATCCTGATATCTGAGAGCTGCACAGCTAAATTAAGGCGAGCTCACACAGAACTTCACAGAAGGCTTTCTTTCCTCTTGATTGCTATGAGCACTCAGTTCCTCTTAACTCTCTGGGATGAAAGACTGATCACCACGTAGCCTGGCTCAGCCTCTGATGGCCCCATGCTTGGCCCATCTTCAGGAAAATATTTTGGTTTGGATGCTGGATGTTTGTTCTTTGGGCAGACCATGGCTGAGATGCACAGAATAGCTCTGTGCATACTGCAGGTCCACAGCACCAAGCACATCCACATGCTGGGCTCCCAGCTCCAGTGCTTTGGACAAGCCAGGCAGCAGCCAAGGATACTTCACCAGCTGCTCTTCAGCTCACAGATTTTGTAGGGGTGAAGTCCAGATTCCCTCTGAGCTCTCCTCTGTAACAGGTTGCCCAGAGGAGCTGTGGATGTCCCATCCCTGGAGATGCTCAAGGCCAGGTTGGAGGGGGCTCTATGCAACATGGTCTTGTAGGAAGTGTCTCTTCCCATAGCAGAGGGTTGAACTAGGTGGTCTTTAAGGTCCTTTCCAACCTTTCTTTGACTTCCTTCATTTCCCACACCTCTAGTGCTGACTATCCACTAGGAGGACTGTCTGTGGTTTCACACCCTCAGTGCCATCTTTAGGAGAGACAGTTTGGCAGAAGGGAGAAGATGTTGAAATGTTAGGATCAACCCACATGTATCTGCCTAATTGCTGTAAACAGACTTGGCTCATTCATGCCCTTGAAGAAACCTAATCAGCAGTGGCAAGTAAATCTGACAGACTCCAGCCAAGCGCTCCTCTGCCTTCTGTTCATCCACTTGAAGGACAAAAATCTGAGGACATTCTTTAGTAGCTCTTGAGATCAAACTATTTCACATGATATTTTGAACAATTTATCACATCCTCTATCTGTGTTGGTAATTATAAGTACCCCTGAGAAATGAAGTACTGGGAAGTGCTCCAGCTTCAACAGAGCTACGGTGTGCAGCTTGGGCTGAGAGAAATTGGAATTTGTTTTCCAGTTTTTATTGTATAATTTCCTATCTGTGTCTCCCCATTTTACTCTGAGAGGTTTCATCACCTCTTGGAGCATTTTGACATGGGTAACTTCTCACCACTTCAGATTCTCTCTGTTTTCTGTGCAAGACCTCACCAATTTCTGCAAGCACTCATTTGGTTCATGGGTGAGAGGAAGGGAGTGAGCACATCTGAAAGAAATGCAAGAAATATAAACAGTTTTATTAACAATACCACAAAAACTTTTTTTTTTTTTTTTTTAATATATGCAGCCATTTACAAGGAGGGAATAAACAAACAAACAAAAAAAAAAAATTGGGTTTTTTCTTGGCATCTGTCAGAGCACAGTGAAACAGCACAGAGCACATGGACAGCATCGTGTAGGGTCTCCCTCCTCCACATCTCCACCGTGGGTTGTCCCTGGCCAGTGTCACCCTGGTGAGCAGGATGGGCCGTCCAGCACTAAGGAGGTGGGGTGCCACGTGTGCCCTGCTGCGGTGCCAGCGATGAGGCCAGCTGTGTCAGGGCTCGAGCAATGACAGACAGGTGGCCGTTCATGGTCCGCAGCTCTGCCAGGATGTCACTCACATTTGCTGATCCCTGCTCAGAGCTCGAGGGCACGGCGTGGGCAGCCGCTGGCAGGGAAGCATCTTCTGGAGCCCTGTCTTCCACGGGTGCAGCATGGTGGTTGTCATCATGGGAAGGCGGTGGGGGTGCACTGTTGCTTCTCTTCACGCTTTCCAAGGAGCATGTTCCTACAGGTGGCTGGTCCTCCTCCTTCCCACGGATGGTGGCGAGTGTTGCTGAAGCCAAGAAAGGCAGCCAGTTGATGAGGTGGGTGGCGCTGCCGGGTGGGACGACTGGCAGATAAAGTCCAGGGTGCAGGGATGAAGTAGAGGCAGGTGGTGCAGGAACAGCAGGGAGTCCAGGGTGAACTGTGCCAGCAGAAGCTGGCGGTGGTGGTGGAATAGGAGGTGGTTTGGGATGCAAGGCTGCAACACAAGGGGGTAGCGGTGGTGAAAATGATGCAGTACCAGGATCAGAGGAAGAAGAGGGTGATGTTGGGGCAGTGAAAGGTCCGAGTTCTTCTGAAGTTGGTGGAGAAGTGGCAGCAGGTGGAGCATCTGGTGTGCAAGGGTCTGAGTCTGCAAGGAAGACATGTCATAAGCCTTGAGAAACATCAGCTACTTCTATGCATTTACTGTTGCCATAACTTCAGTGAGATTAGGTATTTTTGACACGTGGAAGAATTTCACTAGCTGCTAGTGATGCTTTCTACAGGACAACTAGAAAGGAGACAAACTCAAAGAGACATGGTATGGAAATATGCAATTTAAATATTTAAATATAAATTATTGTTCCACTCTCATTCTTCTGCCCATGGGCAGAATTCAACATTTTTCTCACTGACATGTTGTAGACATGTATTAACTGCTTAATTACCTACTGTGTATTACTGACCAGTCACAGAATGGTCGTGTCCTAACTGACTCAGATCTCCCATGGAGATGTGGGGGCTGCATGTCACCTGCTGGAGGCAAAGTTAATCATTGCTTCATAGAAGATTCCAGTTTTCAGCATTCTGGTTTGATTGGACAAGTCAACACCAGAAGCAGCAAAAGCTAGTTGGAAGCTTAATGTCTTCAATAATTACGTTTTTGTGCATGGAAGCATGACCGTTTACCCAATTCAACTTATATACAGATCCCTCCCTGTAAGTATTTAGCAGTTTCAGTTACAAAATTCAACAAAGCAGAGACTGAGAAAGAAACTGTTCATGCTGTGCACCCCAGCTTGACAAATACACCAGTCTACAAGCAGTACAGTAGACCTCCAATTTCCACTGAACTCATTAGAAACATTTGTTCTTGGATCAAGTCCACTGTATACAGTGTAGGATGATAGAGCAGTCTCTGGGGAATACGCAAAGACTTGGCAAGGCATGCTGTGTTCCAAGGTGCTGTACCCACAGTGCCCAGTTGGTAAATACTGCATGGTAAGGAGGATCCTACTTTTATAATGATCTGAAAAGCGAGGAACACATTAGAAAACATCAGTTTTTCAACAGCCTCAAAGGTCTGCATACATGGAATTACTATACCATGTGAAGGAGCTTTATTTTAGCACTGGGAATGCATTACACAGAAGGTGGTGAGATGCTACAAGAATGGTCAGCATAAGGCAAATGGATTTTAAAACTACTTCTGCTGCAATTAAGTGCAAATTTTAAAGCCCTGCTGTGGATACAAAGACACAAATTAATAGATTTATCTATAATACTGAGGTGTTAACACCATACTATTATTATTTCTGGCATCCAAAAAATCTGATGTGAGAAATTCATTTCCATTACAGGCTGGTTTGATATTTCAGATAGCAAACTGATGGTGAAAAGCAAACAAAGGCTTTTCCTTGTCTTAACCAAACCAGTTCAGCACGCAGCCTACAGAAGTCCATCTTTGTTCCACATGAGACCACCATGCTTTTACTCAACAGACGCACGTGTTGGTTGGAGGGATTAAGACACAACGTTTGGCATGCCCTCATGTCACTGTGATCCTTATGGAAAGTTACTGCAGGTTGCTTGAAACAGTTTCCTTCCTTCATGTGTTGGCTCTCATCCCAGTGCCAGGTCCCTGCCTACACGGGCAATTGATTCCTGCTCACTGGAGGTGGGCTAAGGATGCTGGAAGTTGGTTTTCAAAACTGTTACTGATTGGGTTTTGGGTTTTCTAAACAAAAACAAAAATAAAGCACAGTTCAATTCCAGGTTCCGTTTCCATCCAAACCACCAAAGTTTGCAAAGAGTGAGATGAAAGGCTCAGGTTTGGCTCAACTGTAGTGTTAACCAGAACAGTGTTTATGGTCCATATATAGCATGGCTAATCCCTGTCTACACTGGCCAAACAAACCAAATCAAGAGTAATGTTCTTCCATATGCTAAAGAGCAGAGGAAGCTCAAGACTTTGAGATGAGCTGGTTTAGCATTGTGACAAATGACTGTCATGCATGATTCTTGCACGGTTGAAGTATGATCAGGATTAAAACACAAGGAGCAGTAACTAAGACAAACAAAAATTGGACAAAAATCTGGTCACCAAAGGCTCTTCCTCTTAGCTTCAGTCTTTCTGAATGCAGCATAAACAAGCCACAGCCTTGTCATCCCCCTAACCATGACAGAGCATGGCAGCAAGCTAACACAGCATAACATAAGCATATCATATAAAACTGGATGATTCTACTTATCTCCTTCTTTTCCAGTTTTGTTTATCTTAAAGTTGCAATTCATCACAATTGTGCTCTTTGCTTCCTCCTCCCCCCTTTTCTTTGTACAGTTCCAGCACAAAGATGTCCTTCTTACCTGGAGCATTTGGTTGCACGCTCACTCTGAGGGGTGCTGGACAACGCGGCCATGCATGGCCATTGGCTCTCCTGTGTGTCCAGTTACAGATGCCTACAGTCCACAGTACCTCCTTCCTCATACAAAGACTGACTGTTCAAGGCAGGAATTTTACCAGTTGGAAAAATTAATATGTGACCCAGAAAACCTGGGATGGGATTCAATGCTTCTAAACAATGCCAGTGTGAAGAAATGGGAAGTCTTAGACACAGCCTGTATCTCTCTGAACAGCTTCAGAGTTACTTATTCCTGCTGCAGGCAGAGGGAGCTTGTCCTTATCCCTTAGGATAACTGATGTACCGTTATGGATTTCATGTCACCTTCAGCTTTATCTGTCTACATCTCATATAATCCCATGGCCTTTCTTCACAGGCTGTGGATTAAATAGTTCTGGCATGTAGCACACCTGACACTAAAGCAGCCTCCTGCCAGCAGGGCAGCTGAATCACCTCCTTATTGCTAGAATGAGAAGTAAGTATAGAAACGTGGAATTATAGAACAGCTCCGATTGGAAGGGAACTTGAAAGATCATCTGGTCCAACCTTTTATGGAAAAAGGGTGCCTAGATGAGAATACCTACTTCTGTTCTAGACGGAACTTTTATTGAGCTCCCTGTCTAACTGTGTCTTGTACTCTCAAAGTATCCTGGTCTCTCAGCTGAATATAAAGAAAATGGGGCATGCCTTTGGATGACTAATTCAGCTGTGGATGCCATGTTCTGGAAATGTCTAAATTTCAAAAGAGAACTTCTGCTCCAGACGCCTAAAAATAAAATGTGCCCTCCTGATTTACCGTGGATCTCCTGAAGAGAATGCAGTTGCACATCTTTGTGCTCCCCATTTGCAAGTAAGAGGGAAATACTTCAGTGTTGCCATCACTGACTTAAGAACTTAAGGATATCAGAATCTCTGAGGAAATAGGCCAGGTGATGCAGTAATGAGGGAGAGGTAACGAGCAGCTCCAGGACAGAATTGCCTGCAATGCTGCCTGCCCATGATGATAGATGCTACAAAAGATTAATGGGTTGCCCTGTGAGTGTGGGGAAACTGGAACTTTTAAAAATGAGTTCATCTGTATGACAAGAACATGAATTTAACTTCTCAAACAGTCTTGGCTATCTTAGCTGCCTTTGTTTGACTACTGATTTTATCTGCCTCGCAGTCAAACTGTGCAAACTGATTTCTTAGTTTTTTTGTCAGCCAAAAAGGGAAAGGTCTGTGAGGGGGAAACCTTAAGGGAAAAGCGAGGACATGATTTTCCACTGACTGACATCTGCATGGGATTCAACTCAGCTCACTTCAGCTGTTTAATCTTGCATTTAGTGGGAGCCAGCCAGGCTCCTTCCTGGGCTCCAGCAGAGACAGAAGCACCTCTGGGAACAAACTGTCCCAAGCTTTGGTTCCCTAAGAAGGATTGACAATCATGTTGTGGAGTGTCATGCTCAGGGGGTGTCCTTCCTCCTTCAGTGCTTCTTGTAGGACCATGTCACCTATCTTAGTTGGGCAAACTAACTACTAAACGGTCGAAGTTGGGAGATTTGGATATAAATAATCTGGTGGGTGGCAACCCTGCCAATGGTTCTGCTCGGTACTAAATGGTCTTTGAGGTCCTTTCCAACCCAAGGCATTCTATGATTCTGCAATTCTTTGCAATAAATTCCTATCGTATCAAAAACTGTAGGTGGATGGTGTTGCCTCTGCATTCCCAGGAAAAGGCATAAAGCCGTGCAGATGAGGGATAAGGTGCAAGAGAGTGGAGATGGGCTCCCACAGCACTTGGAGAAATGAGCTGGAGGTTTAGAAGGTGACCACGCTCTGACTGAGTCATCACCAATCAGGTGATCCATTTCAAAGATAAAGGATGCTCAGATGCTGAAATGAGTCACGCAGTCTCTGCAGTGATGCAGCAACCTGCAGGAGCCCTTTGTGCACTGCCCTTTCTGATCGAGTTTCTCAATCAGCTCTTAAGCTTACGGTGTGTGTGTGTGCCCGTGAGCCCAAACACGGGTGTGCACTCCCAGTTGGCACTGCAGCTGCGTCCCAAGAAAGTCTACATAAATAATCCTGCCTTCTTCTGTGAGAAGTGAAACTCAAGTCCAACAGCAGCATTTAGCTAAGCAAGGGTGGTACTTCTTTTGCATGGACAAATTCCATTTCTGGAATCTGGATTTGGCCTCTCAAAAGCCAACACTTCTGTGCTGCTCAGTTTTGATTTGGGTACTGAGAGATGCTGGTTTGCACTGCTGGTCTGTAGTCAAGGTGCAATTCAAGCTGAGAGGGGATGCAACTTCAGCATTGGGTACAGACACTATTGGACACAGCACTGGCTTCAGAAACATAGTCTGATTTTAGACATTGTGTCAAGCACCCAGTTTTGCAAGAAGCCAAGTAAATAAGGGCTGTGAACACTTGTATGATTTTTGAGTGAGAAGCTTAGGATCGTATGTAAAATTCATAAAACCACCAGGCAAGTTTATTGTTAAATATTTTTAAAGTAAAGAAAAGCACACTTCTATCCTGAGCGTATGGAAATTATACATATCAGAATCTTTAAGGAAAATCAAGTGATTTATTGTAATTAAATATGCCTACCCAAACTCAGAGGTCTAGTGTGAAATACTAATTTGAGAAAACGCATTCCAAATCAGTCCTGATCTTCTAGATTTGAAACTCAACTTACAGATCCCTCCCATAATTTAAAAGAAAAAATAAATTTTTTTTTGGGAAATATTTGTTGGTTACCAGAACTGTGCCGTAATGGAGCATGTGGCAAAGCCTGTTTCGGGGGCCAAGACCTTTCACCAAAAGGACTCTGCCTCTGCTGTCAGATCGAAAGTTTATTGGTTGAGTCACTTCAGCTCTGGGTTCCTTGCATTTTAAGAATCCTCATAATAATCCATGAGCTGCTCTGAAGATTTTAGTTCACTTTTGAGTTTTGGAGCAACAGAAAGATTTTCAGACTCCATAAACTTGTGCATCTCCTTGGCATTCTTTTAATTTTTATTTTCCCTTTATTATTATTTTATTCTATTTCGGGGTCTGTGTCCCCTCTTTCAGGTACAGCACACCAGGGCTGCTCGGACTGCCTTTTCATGACTAATCACA